ATAACACACCCACTACATATTGTAGTCTCTTTTTCTTAGAAATGTTCAGAAAGAGTGGTGACCTTTTTTTGAATATTTTGTAATTTTGGGTCGAAAGATGCACATGCGAATTAAAGTCTCTGCGGTATAAGTGAATAAAGATTTCATAACTTGTTCAGTTTGTCAAAGTCCATTGGCTCATAATGATTACAGCACAAATGTAAACCCAGAATTCTGAGGTGGTTATCTTTTGAGTCATTGATTTGTTCCCATTAATTCCACCTTGTCTACATAACTGTCGGTGTTGTATATTCTTTCGCTTATGGTTTCCTACAAATGGAATAAGAGAAATGGCAGTTGAGATAAATTAAAGCCTATCCATAACTTTAGGCTATGATCAAGCCATAAAGTGACCGAGTCCCTGGAAAGAACCTTTATAGTGAGTGGTCTCTTTCCCAAATTAGATTTAAAACACGTTTGTTTGCATGTTCAAAAGCAAAAAGATTTAAGTGTAAAAAATTATGTAATGGCGATGAAAAGGTTAATTCAAGTCAACCTGAATATTTTACCTCTACTACAAAAATCACCGCATGGTGGCAGTATGTGCTTCTGTGACAGCCAGCTGGGTGTAGGACGATTACATGGTTATTCATAATAAATATGAGTCATCAGTATTTACAGTGTAATTTTTATAACATATGCATTTATTCATTCAATATACAGCGGAAAATTAATGCCACCAAAAGAAATGCTGTTTTTCATTGTAATCACAAAATCTTAGTACCAAAAAGAGACAGAATGATTGCAGAGACAAGGAGCAAGTACAAAGAGATGGAAAATGGCCACAGACATGTAAAACAATACACAGCCATAAAAAGATGCAAAGTGACTATAAGTTCAAGATCAAAGTCCACAGATAGAAAACATGTTTCCCTGTACAATGAAATTCTTACTATAATGAGGAGAAACATAACTTTAAAAAACAACCAAAGCAATCAAAGAGATAAAAAATGACTAAAATGTGACATAAAACTACCATAAAGAGTCTCTTTTAGTGTGTGGGTCCTTCTTCATAGCAGGGGTTTATATGGTTTCAGTCTGTCCGTCGCCAACACGCCTTTTCAAGAGGCTAGAGCCCCGTTTCGCTATATAAAATGCATTTTTGTTTTATGATTTGATGAGTAGTACTCGTACTACAGTATAAAAGCCCTTCATTTTCTTTAAATTCTCGTACTGCTCCTCCTACTGACCCTCCCTCGGTGGCACTAACCACCCCCCATACCGTCAGGGCAGCGTGGTAGGCACAACAAGCTCCGCGGTCGGTGCGTTCACCCTTGCGCCGCTACCACTGCAGTTCCTCCCTGGCACAGAGGACCACGCCGACCTACCCGGTTCAACAAGGTCGGAGCAATGAGCTCGTCCTCCGCTGTTCGCCTCGCATTAACGTGAGCGTGTGACGGCTCTTCTTCGCGGACACACACACACACACAGAAGAACCGCACCTGTTTGTTGTTTGCAAAACACTCAGCTCGGTGTCGGTTAGTCCCACCCGCAGCCTGGACCATGGCGGAGAGAAGCGGCCGGTTGAGTTTCCCCGGGAGCGGGGCTCTCAACAGACCGGTGCCGATGAACCTGTTTGCAACATGGGAGATAGACGGATCCTCCCCGCACTGCATCCCGAGGTGAGTCGCCGCAAGCACGGCATGTCATTGTCCTTTGAAACTTTAAAGCCAGTGTTTCCAGTGCGCCAAGCTGTCATTTGTCAGATCGCTAATGTTTCGCTGCACGGCGCCTTGCCACCAGCTGGCTGTGTCATCATGCCAGGTGGATGCTCCTGCAGGCCCTGCAACTGGGTCATGTTCATTCATCCATGGTTTAGAAGCTGTGGTAAATAAAAGAGGTGGGCAAACTACTGTTTAGCTCATTGTCAGTGTGTGAAATTGTCTGACTATACAAAAAACCCATATACCTACTTCGGCCTGTATACAGCGAAAGTGTAAGGAATGCCATTAAAACGTTTGAACAGATTCGCTCTAAAGGAAGACGTGTTTCACTTTTGGTCTTGACTCCACCTTTCTAGTTCTGCAAACCCGCCGTGCACCTGCAAACCTCGGCATCGCAACCGACTCCTTCACTAATTATATTCAAATCAGTACAATTATCTTTACATCAGTTCTATACGTCTTCACTTGCTAAAATCTTATATGCCTATTCTCACTTGTTTCCTCACCTCGATGGTACAGACACGCACTCGCACCTCATGCCTAATTATTTAAATCTTGTAATACCACACCCAGATTAACTGTTGTGTGCATTTCTGACACAGCTGTTCTGAAAGCAGTTTATGCAGTGAGTTCATTTGTAGAACAGCAGCAGAGTAGCAAATCTTCATGTTTTCAGTTGGACAAAAAAAAGATACAGGACATAATTTAGACTTTTCAAATAAGGAGTTCACCTGTATTAGCCATAGCTACAGCGTGCACGTGTCCACACCAGCAGTTGCATCAGTTGTCTCTTCACTGTCAGTGTCACCCCTCACTTTTCAGAATTTAAACACAGAGGTAAGAAATGCGGTCAAACAAAGGCAAAATTCTTATGTCTTGGGGCCTCCTTGGTGTTAATTTGACACCCCCGTCTTTCACGCACTGGCTGGTTGGTGAGGATCATTTGACAGGCAGCCACAACACAACCAACTCCTGCATTCCAGCTCCAGCCTCCGGCAGTGTTAAAACTGGTTTTGAAGGTGCATATTCTGAAGAGAGATTGTGCTGAAACCTCAGCAGTCATGGTGGTTAACCAGCTTTATGCCAGATCATTGTGGCGGGCTGCACTCTATTTGGTTCCTGTGGCCCCCAGAGAGTTCACACTGTAAGAGTCGGTACCACATTCTGATCTATCTGTCCAGGTTAGGCTTGTTTTATTAGAAATTCCTTTCATCTATTGATAGTTTAGCCTTGAGAGCCTTTCTGTGTGGCGTTTGCATGTTCTCCCTGTGCCTGCGTGGGTTCTCTCCAGGTGCTCCAGCTTCCTCCCACAGTCCAAAGACGTGCAGCTTAGGTCGACTGGTGACTCTAAATTGCCTGTAGGAGTGAGTGTGGTTGTTTGTCCACATGTCAGACCTGTGATAGACTGGCGACCTGTCCAGGGTGGACCCCACCTTGCCCATTGTCAGCTGGGATTGGTTCCAGCCACCTCCACCCCCTGGCGACCCTCTTCTGAATAAGCAGTATACATAGTAAATGGGGATGGATAGTTTAGCCTTTAAATGTCAGAATATAGTAGAAAATGACCATCACAGCTTCCCCCCCAGTTACAAGTGAAGTGTGATTAGAACAATATGCTGAAATCCATATTAATTTCACAATGATGTATAGACAGCTGGGTTTGAAACGTGGTTTGGAGTTGGTGTGCAGACGTTAACTGTTTTTATCAGTGCTGATTTTCACTAATCTGGCACCATACATGTGATGTTTATACAGAGATGCGCCTTGTTCAGCAGAGGATCAACATTGGTAATGTTTCTAAAGATGTGATCCAAGCTTCTTGACATCGTGTTGACATATGATAATCATTTAGCACTTTCTTGTCCTCGTCAGTCACACATGTAAAGGCACATTTTACCATTGTGCAATAACAGAAGTAAGAAGTAAGAACTCCACATGACTGAAAGCTGCTGTCATACTCTGGTCAGAAGCTGTCCGCCTGCAGAGGTGGACAAACTGTAATTAGTATGAAATATTGGAGCGTATTTGAATGTTGTTGTGTTTCTCCTTAACATCTCTTTATCCTGTTAAGTTGATACCTCCAGTGGTTGTCACATTGCATGGCTTTCAGCTGAAATAAGACTAATTTGTTTACAGGAAAAGCAGAACTATGTGGTTATTCAGCAGAGTGGACAAATAGATTAAGATGTTTCTGGAACTTAAAAGTCCCAGTTTCAATTCCCCACAGCGCTGCATGTCTGTCAACAACACGCTGCACTTCCAGTGATGTGCGTTTCCATATGAAGCTGCTTTACTGTCAAGAGCGCCTTTATTTAATGTATTAGCTGTCTACACAGTGAGTTAGCAGAGCTTCCCACTGCAGCTTTCTGTTGAATGCTGTCTGAGTTTAGATGGGAGGAACTCAGCTTGTTAACCAGGTCATCAAATCAACTCTGTCATCCAGTGATATCAGCCTCTTGAGGTGCCTCAACACTCTGACCACTGGCTTTCATCCGAGGGCAGTTTGTTCGTTTTCTTTTAAATCGGTCTGCTCATTTCTCTTATATTTCACTTTTTTAATTGACACAGTCCAAGAGCTTAAAGGGAGTCAGCAGAGGATCTGTTTGCAGACTTAAGCATACTTTCTACAACTTATGCATGAAAATAGTGTTCACACACTTCGTTTGCTGTAAAGATTGCATGCAGTTTGTTATTTATAGGAGGGACACAGTCAGATGGATGCGCCAAATGATTTACCCCAAAAGCACTCGCAGCAGACCTTGAACAGAACGATTCCTCAATCTGACATGAGAAATGCTGAACAGAGATGATTTGGTGCATTGCATGCCAACAGCAGCCTTGGTGAATGCTGTATTAAAGGAACAGTGCAGCATTTTGGGAAAGGCGTTTTTTGACTTTGTTGCTGAGAGTGTACTGAGAAGATTCTGTATCTGTCAAACATGAAGCTGAAGCCAGGAGACCATTATCTTAGCTTACGCGGTGACTGGCTCATGAGGTAGGGCAGTCGTCTCCTGACCAGCAAGTTGGTGGTTCGACTCCCGGTCTCCCCGCATGCCTAAGTGTCCCTGAGCAAGACACTGAACCCCGAATTGCTCCCGGTGGCTTGGCTAGCGCCGGTGCATGGCAGCCTGTCGTCATTGGTGTGTGAATGGGTGAATGGGTGAATGGTGTATGATCTTCTGTAAAGCGCTTTGGCCAGTGCAACACACTGTGAGAAAGCGCTATATAAAATACAGTCCATTTACCATTTAGCATAAAGACTAAGGAACAGGGAAATGGCTAGCCTAGATCAGATCCTATCCGGAAGTTTAACTGACATTGTAAAGCTTCCTGATGGACTGGATCTGTTACCTGGAGCCAAGTGGGAGTCAAACCATGAGCAACATAATCATTAATGGACTATATACAACAACACTGAAATAACTGAACAAAGTAAACATCAGAACAAAGTCCTATTGAAAGAAGCGTTTGCTATTGGCAGATATAAACTTTGTCTCAACGCCAGTTTAAAATCCACCAAAGAACTGAAGCTGTTCAATTGGACCGGTCTGTGAGTTTGTGTTGTCGTTGTATCTCGCATGCTGTGTACCTTTGACATCACCAGCCTAATAGACAGCGAAGGTCACATGGTCACATCCAGTTAGCTTCTGTTCCATTAGCTACACTGACTCTATATGCAGTCTCTCATTTAACATTTTTCATCACCCATCCATCCATTTTCCTCCGCTTATCCGGGACCAGGTCACGGGGGCAGCAGTCTAATCAAAGATGCCCAGACTTCCCTCTCTCCAGACACTTCCTCCAGCTCCTCCGGGGGAATGCCGCGGCGTTCCCAGGCCAGCCGAGAGACATAGTCCCTCCAGCGTGTCCTGGGTCTTCCCCGGGGCCTCCTCCCGGTGGGACATGCCCGGAACACCTCCCTAGGAAGGCGCCCAGGAGGCATCCGAAAGAGATGCCCGAG